AGCAGCTGAAGGAGACGTCTGTAAGAAATTTAACCTTACTAATTGCTGCCTACACATAGATAATCAAGGGCAAGTAGTTGAAGACATAGTTAGAGATATGACAAAACTGGCACATGTGACTGTGCAAGTGTGGCATGGATTTCATCCTGGGGCCCTGCTTGGAAAATGGTTTCCAGCGCTAGGAGGATTTAAAACTCTTATAATAAGAGTTATAATAGTAACAGGAACTTGCTTACTCCCTTGTTTGCTACCTGTACTTCTTCAAATGATAAAAAGCCTCACTGCTACCTTAGTTCACCAAAATGCTTCAGCACAAGTGTACTATGTGAATCACTATCGATCTGTCTTGCTAGAAGACATGGGTAGTAAAAATGAAAGTGAGAACTTCCACTATTGAGTGAGCGTCTCAAAGGGGGGGGAATAAGGGAGGAGACCATCCTTCATATTGTCTTATGCCCAATTTCTGCCTCCAAAGAAAGAAAAAGTAAAAACTAAAAGGCAGAAATGAAATCCACAAGCAGACAGCCTGGTGCCACACCCTGGGCCTGGTAGTTAAAGATCGACCCCTGACCTAATCGGTTATTATTTATAGATTACAGACATTGTATAGAAATGCGTTGTGAAAATCCCTATCTTGTTTTGTTCTGATCTAATTACCGGTGCATGCAGCCCCAAGTCACGTACCCCCTGCTTGCTCAATTGATCATGACCCTCTCATGCGCACCCCCTTATAGTTGTGAGCCCTTAAAAGGGACAGGAATTGCTCACTTGGGGAGCTCGGCTCTTGAGACAGGAGTCTTGCTGATGCCCCCGGCCGAATAAACCCCTTCTTTCTTTAACTTGGTGTCTGAGGAGTTTTGTCTGCAGCTCGTCCTGCTATAGAACAACAACAAAAAATTCCAGGTAAGACGATTGAGAGTGGTAGAGCTGCTGCTCACAACTGTAAACAGGATGATAAATGTAGGCTTCATTGAGAAAATGGCATTTGAGCAAAAGCTTGGAGGTGAGAAAGTTGGCCATCGGCGCTTCAAGGGGAAGAAATTTCTAGGCAGAGGGAACATCCAGTGCAAAGGTTCTAAGGAGAATACTACCCGGTGTGTTCAAGGAACAGCAAAGAAGGCTGTTGGGATATAGCTAAGTTTACAAGTACAGTAGTCAAGGCATTGAGATTGGGAGGTATCAGGCAGTGGAGATACTAGCTAGGTCATGTGGAGTTTGTAAGCTATTGTGAAGACTTTGGCTTTTATTTGAAGTGTGAAGGCAAGACTTTTGAGATTGTTGAGCAGAGGTGTGACATAACCCACTTTTAAAAGGGTCACTCTGGACACTTGTACTGACAACAAATTATAGGACACAAAGCTAAAAGCAAGAGAACACTTAAGAGGCTATTTTAATAATTCAAGGAGAGACGATAAAACTTAGTGAGTTTGTAGTAATACAGGTGGTGAAGAATTCTGGATATTTTCAGAAGGTAGGAACAAAGAGATTTCATGATTGGATGATGAGTGAGAAGAAAAAGATTAGTCTGTGATGAACCCAGGTTTCTTGGCTTAAACAACTGGAAGGATATTTCTTTCCATGTTTCAACTAGAATGTATTTTAAAAATATTTTTGTAAAAGTTATTTATATATAAATAATTTAAATCAATCTATGTCATATACATTACAAAAGTTTTTTCAGTTTAATTTTGTTAATTCTGTTTGTGACACACAGTTTTAATTTTGTATATTTATAGGCAACCGTAATATTTTCCTTTCAGTTTTCTGTCTTGGCTTTCATTATTGTGCAAATATAAACATTTGCCTAGATTTTCTTCCATTTTTTTTGTTTACCAGTATACATTTATTACTTTACCATATCTAAAATTAATCTTGATATAATGCATATCAAAGTCTTTTTCACTTGCCATTTATTCTGGCATCATTTTCTGTAATGCTATTCTTATCTACAAAATTCTATTTTGGAATTTTCCATTTATTCCATTATATTCTTCCTCAAGTATCAAATATCTTTATTGTTGTTTTGGAATATTACTGTTTCATAAAGCTGTAAACAACATTCATTATTCAGACCATTTGGCTCATCTTATTATTTGTAACTCCAAATTGATTAGGAAGAACCATGCAATATCTACCTTAGATTTTGACTGGAGTCATGTGAATCTTGTAGGTGCATTTAACAAGAGTTGCTATTGCTACAACATTGAATCTTCTACTCCCTTGATAATTTTTTGAATATTTGCAGAATTCTCTTCATCATCAAAGTTTTAAAATAAAATTTATAAGAATAGGCCTAAATATTTGTTTTTTTAGTTCTTTTAGTTCCCGGTTTTTGGTTCATCCTTTCCATTTGAGATCTGTGTCTTCTTTTCCTCAGTTGAAGGGGAATTTTTTTCATTACGTCTGCAGTTAGTTCTTCTGTTGTGTCTCCTCTTCAGCAACATTAGGTATCCACAATATTGCATTTCAGTTATTTCACCCTAAGACCCTATTTTCTCTATTTTTGTATCTCCTTATTCCATAAGTTATCAATAAATATATTTTCTACATTATTGGTCAAATCTATTATTTACTACTTTGATGTTGATACCAAATAACTTTAGTTGTTTGTTTTTTTTTAAACTCAGTCAACCTTCTTTTAACGGCAATCAGTTGTCTCATCATCTCACTCTTCATCAGTTCTTACATGGATTTTTGTTTTGTTAAATACCATTGAGAACACTGAGCAATGCTTTATGGAACTTTCTTCTGTTTCCTGTTGTAAATCTTTTAAAAAGTCAACCATATTTCTAAATCTTGATTGTTATGCTTTTTCTTCTTGCATTGCTATGCTGCATTAGGCCTCATTTTGTTGTTGTTTTGTTGTGTTTTTCCTGTTCACTTCTGCTTAAATGATGAAAGTGGCAGCTGACCTGGCATTTGCCCATGTACACAGAGGGTGGATTATCCTTGGTTCTTTTTACTGTCCACATGAATGGAACTAAATTTCTCTTTCTCATCTTGAGCTTACAGGTTGTTTTATATGCAAATATTTTAGCTAAATTTCTGATGTCTGGCCAAGATTTACAATGTGTGCCGCCTCTGAACTGAGAAGGAAATTCTCTTGTATTTATGATACCATAGGGAGAAAACTTTATCCGTGGATAATATAAATTCTTTACATTTAAATCCCAGGAAGAAAGCATGCACTATAACTTCTAGACATCTCTATTTATACTCCAACTTTACATTTAGAAGGTTTTAATAAGGCAACTAGGGAACAACAACCCCTGTTACAATGATGCAAAACTCCTGGCCCCTTTACAGCCTAGCCTTAGTAGACTACAAATATAATTTCCATTCTTATGTGTAGTGGAGGCTTTGTATCTTCAAAATAATAGTCAGGGCTTGGGGGGCTAGGGAAGGGATAGCATTAGGAGAAATACCTAATGTAGATGACAGGTTGATGGGTGCAGCAAACCACCATCGTATGTGCATACCTATGTAACAAACCTGCACGTTCTGCATGTGTATCCCAGAACTTAAATTATAATTAAAAAATAGAACAAATTGAAACAACAAATAAATGAATACATAAACTAACCTAAAGGAAATAAGCAAAAATATCAGCATATTAGGTCAATGGTTTAATTATAGATTATAATAATTGTGTATTATATAAGTATAGTTATAGATTATAGATAATCTAAGTATTTCAATCAAAGGCATGGAACAATACAATTACTCCTAGATTTTTGCCATTTTAGTGACATCTGATTTACTGACTTTTCAGTAACTAAATAGTATCACAACAAAAGTTATAAAATGACTTCCCAACTCTCTTCTATTGATACAGGCCTCATCTAAATGTATATTATTAACATTTATTATTTTTATTTTTACTCTCCACAGGTTTTTGTGTACTATGTTCAACATTGACAAGAAGATAACTGGGAAATAAATATATATAAATACAGGAACATAAAGAGAAATAAAGAGGAAGCACCACAGTCAACTAAAAAAAAGAGATTCCCAACAATCTACACACCCATTTCTATAGGCTCTCAGCTGATGCTTACTGTTTGGACAACTCATACATGCAGATTGACAGATGACCAACTTATAAAAGAGATTTTTAATAGTTCTTAATGATTTCACAGGGTGTTGTCAATGGAAATATAGATTTTTCTACAGCAAACATGTACATCTATACCATGTGGAACAAGGATAGTGGGAAAACCTCTGTGAGGATGTAGAACTGAGAAGAGCATATTAAATGTGATAAGAAAAACACTTCTAGAGCATATCGCCTTCAAGAAAATGGTGCCCAGTCAGGATTGTGTTACATTTTAATAGGAATGGAGATATTTGTGATATACTGACAAACCAAGACATGTGACTATAAAACGGCAATGTAAAGTGTCAGCTTCTCCTCGCGCTGTTATAGTAAACATCTGAGAATCTCACTCCTGTCAGTGTATTCTTGGGGTTGAATCTCAAGTGATCCATAGGATCTTAGATACAGCAGATTAAAGTGGGCTTTTCTGTCTTCCTAAGTAAACAGCAATGAAGTTAAGAGAAAGAAGATATTGCTGGAAGTCACGATAAAGTCTATCTTCTGTCACCATATGTTTTCTTAGAGAGTTTTAGACATTGACCCTCATCTAAAAAATTGTGGAAAAGGACTCTCACCACTCTGTTAATATGTATGTATATGAAAGAAATTACTGGTAAACTTCTAAGGCAGGCATAGGTATTACTTGTTTTTTATCTTTATTGTGTCTATGAAATGATTGTGTGTGTTTTTTCTTTAATTAGACAATGAGATTCCCAAATAAATTTTATTAAAGCCAAAAAAAAACCTTTAAACCTTTTTGAGATTCTAATATTTATGTAAAATATAGTCTGAAATACACAATAAACAGATATTTGAATACATGAATTCTTAAACCATTACTTAACAAAGCAATATTTTCAAGTTTAAAAGATAACACGTTGAAATCAAAATTTAATTTTCTTACCTTTCTGGATATGTAAGTGATTTTAACATGAGACTCTGGATCTTGTATGTGCATGTGGAACACTCCATATTTGAGCTCTGGAAATACGTCAAACCAATGCTTGAAATATTTGCAAAGTCATTGTAAAATTGAGCAAGAATCTTGATTTCTTGAAGTTTACAAAGTGGTTTGTTCTTTCTAGAGAGAAAATTTGATACACTTAGCATATTAATAATTTGAAACATAATTCAATTCTAAAATCAATATAATCCTAATAAGGGAGGCCACAGAGAACAATACTATGGGGAGAAGGCCAAACAAAATATTATTGGATATTTATTAAAATAATTAAAAGTAATTTATAACAGAACAAAATAATAAATGCAAAATAATAATAAATGCATTCCCTTATAGAACTATTTTGAAAATGCTTCTTTTGGGAAAAAGTGACATGTCTTTCTGAGTAGATGTCTAGATTGTACATTTGACTAGAATTAGAGAAGTCATCCTATATGTGTTTTTTAGACCGTTTAAAAACTATCGTAGTTCCTTAAATAGACTAGATGATTAAAAGATAACTTAAAAATATTTTATCAAATATTTTTGATCTAGAACAATAACTTATAAAGGCCTGAGATTCAAAACAGAAATACAGTGTTTAATAAGTACAATTTTCTGTGCATTTACAATATAATTAAGCTTTACAAACTTAACCTCATTTAACTACCTGAAAGACTCTTTTATTAGGTACTATGAGTATTACCATTTTACAGATAAGAAAACTGAACATCAGAGCATATAAAAGTCTTTCCCAAAGCCACAAAGCTAATAACGCTCCTCACTGCTCTGCTCAATTTCTCATCCCTATGTGCCAGAAATGTGGGTCCCTGGACTCATTTATCTCAATATGGGCTTTCGTGACCCCAAGAGGAACTCCAGCTACTCTATTGCACTTTTTCTCACTAGACAAAACTGATGGCAAAGGGGAGAAAAAGAAGGAGAAGGAGGAAGGAGAGGTGTAGGAGGAGGAGATGAAGGAATAGGAAGAAAAGAAGGTGGAGGTGGAGGAGAAGAAGGAGGAGAAAGGGAAGGGACTAAAGAAGAGGACAGAAGTGAAGGAAACAAAAGTTCTTTTAAAAATCAGTTTAAGGAAGTTTCTCTTTTGAGTCAAGAACAACTTGGTTAATCAAAGGTGACAATCACACAGAGAACAGCTGAAGAGCAACCAGTGGGGCACCCAGCACTCCCTGCCATCTCATATTTTTTTCTGCTCTCTTTCTGATTCCTTGCAGCAGCTAGACACCAAAAAGAGGACATGATCATTCTGCTCAAAGTCCATCTCTGCTACCTCCTGGCAGGGTTACCACTTTCTATTTCACAGACTACAATGTCATTAGATGTATCACTAATGTCTTTCCATGAACGTATCTAAATTTTTCAGAGATAATTCAAATTCAGCATATCCAGACAGGAATGTGTTATCTTCCCATACAAACTCACACCCACAGCAGTGGTTTCAATTACCAACAGTTTGCTCATGACTACAAAATCTCTACATTCAGCTAAGGCCTGTATGCTAAGTTTTAGTTACATGTATCCACTGTCATTCACCATGTCCATTTGGATATCAGAAGGATGCCTGAAGTTCACTAGGTTCAAATCTAAATGACTTATCTTCTCCAACACTTTCTCCAACAAAAAAACAAAAACAAACAAACAAAAAAAACCTAAAACTAAAACTTACATTGTCTCAGAGTATTAAATGGCACCACCACCTATTACCCAAGTCAAATAAATAGGATTTACCCTTGATAGCACCCTTCTTTCAACCTCCACATTCAATCTATCAGAAATTTCTATTGACTTTACCTCTGAAATATCAAAACTGATTTGAATCCCTCATTTTTCCATTTCAACGATAAACCTTCAAGCCCAGCACACCATTGTGTCATGTCTATATTCCTGCAACAGCATCTTGCTTTGTATCTCTCCAATCCACTGTGGTTAAATTGTTTTTCCAAAAGAAAAATCCAACTGTGGCCTCAACCTGACCACCACAACTAAAATACTTCAGTAGTTTTCATGTGCCCAGTGAACAAAATATAAATTCTGGAACATGGCCTATGAGTTCTAATTTCTATGATATATCTAAGTGTTCTCTACATTTCTCCTTTCTCTCTTGCTTTCCCAGTCTCTATTCTATTCTTTTTTTTTTTTTTTTTTTTTTTTTTTTTGAGATGGAGTCTCGCTCTGTCACCCAGGCTGGAGTGCAGTGGCGCAAACTCAGCTCACTGCAACTCCCAGGTTCAAGCGATTCTCCTGCCTCAGCCCCTGAGCAGCTGGGACTACAGGTGCGTCCCACCACACCCAGCTAATTTTTGTATTTTTAGTAGAGACAGGGTTTCACCATATTGGCCAGGATGGCCTCAAACTCCTGACCTTGTGATCTACCCACTTTGGACTACCACAGTGCTGAGGTTACAAGTGTGAGCCACCATGCCTGGCCCCAACCTCTATTCTTAAACATACTAAATGGCCTTCAGCTCCTGAAGTCGGTCATGCTTCTCTACGCTTCAGATTTTCTGTATTTATTGGTCCTTCTGCCTGGAATGCAGAAGGGCAATGACTCCTGTTCACCATTTAGGACTCGACCAATATAAGCATCAATAGAGAAACTTTTAGTCACCCCACTAATTTACATCCCCTATTTTAATTTTCTATATACACTATGATTTATGTCAAGACATTTTTTCATGAGCAGATTTTACTTATATAATTTTATAATTATTTGACTATCCTTATATGTCTCATTATGCTACGGGCTTAATGAAGGTAAGACTATGACTGATTTTCTCACCACAGTATCCGCAGCAATTCACACAGTGCCTGGCTCAGTGTAGATGCTCATTAAAAATTCTTTGAATAGTAGAATGATGGGCATCATTGTTTTATTTTTATTATTATTTAAAAATCTATCTGCTACAGACATCTAATTTATATAACAGCAGACATCTAATTTGTCCAGAATTGTATCCCCTATTCCTAGCACAGATCCTGGTCTATAGAAGAACTCAATAATTTGTAATGAATGGATTAAATTGGATTCTCTCCACGTACCTTTTAGCTCAGTATAGAATAGCATTATACTTTTTAAATAGTCACAAAGCTCAAAACTTGAAGTCACTCTAGATTGGTTTCTTTCCTTAATGTTCACTTATTCAATTAACCATGCAAACACACAACACGTCTGTTCTACAGCCCCAAAACCTCTAGAATCCCCCTTAGCCTGTTTTTTTATTCCCACTGACTTGGATCCAGGCTCACATTATCTTTCATATGAATGATCAAAGTAACTACTTCTGTAGCCTCCTATCTCATGTCTTGTTCCCTCTAATCTCTGCATTACTCATATGTCTGAGCCTGAGAATATCCAATATTAATATTTCCCATTTAGCATCCTATACTGGCATATTAATATGCCTGGTCCAGTGAATCATTAGTATCACAGAAAAAATAACATTCAGTATAAAAAATCAGGATGCAGAACACATTTCAATCAGATCCTAATTTTGCTAAATAAAAAAATAATGTGTCTATACATAGAAGGAGGAAGGGGAAGAATGATTATAAACCAAATGCAAAGTGTAGGTATTCCTGGATGGTATAATTATAGGTGATTCCTATTTTATATAATATTATACATTTTCTACAGTGAATAAATATTCCTGTTTCCATTTTACCAAGGAAAATAAAAGATCATTTAAAATTCTTTGATTCCTGTAGCATCTTAAAGACAATTTAAATCCCAAAACATAATTAAATGTATACTCGTGCTGCATAATGATGTTTTTGTAAACAAAAGACTTAATATATGATAGCGGTCCCGTAAGATTATGACACTATATTTTCACTGTACCTTTTCCTATGCTTAGATATTTTTACATAGACAAATATGTACCATTGTGTTATAATTGCTTCCAGTATTCAATACTGTAGCATGCTGTACAGGTTTGTGACTTATTGCTTCTAGGTTATAAACCTACACTACATTCCATATAGCCTACATGTGTAGCAGGCTATACCATCTAAGTTTGTGTAAATACACTCTATAATGTCCAAGCAATGACAAAATCGCCTAACCATGCATTTCTCAGAGGATACTCCCATTGTTAAATGATGAATGACTGTATTAGCAAATAATTATTAACAGAAAAACAGTAAACCCATTAGCCAAGATTAGGTGGACAGATTATAACACATGTGTATATGTTCCCATATTTTACATTCCTTCATGACAATGCACTAATCCAAGTATCTGAATAAAAATCACTATTTCATGCTGTTCCACATAGAGTATAATGTTTGTAAATTAACTCAAGACCAACAGTTTCTTTGCCTTCTGAACAAATTTGAAACATCTGTTCTAGGCCTGTGTTCATGTGCAATTTTTGAATTTAGATACTGTATTAGTCTGTTCTCATGTGGCTACAGAGAAATACCAAAGACTTGGTAATTTATGAAGAAAAGAGGTTTAGCTGACTCAACAGTTCTGCATTGCTGGCGAGGCCTCAGGAAACTTACAAACATGGCGGAAGGGAAAGCAACATGACCTACTTCATATGGTGGCAGGAGAGAGAAGAATGAGAATCAAGCAAATAGAGAAGCCCCATATAAAACCGTCAGATCTCTTGAGAACTTACTCACTATCAAGAGAATAATATGGGGGAAACCACCCCTGTGATTCAACCAGGATTCCACCTGGTCCTGCCCTTGACACATGGGGATTATTACAATTCAAGGTGAGATTTGGGTAGGAACACAGAGCTATACCATATCATTCCACCATGGTCTTCCCAAATCTCATTTTCTCACATTTCAAAACACAATTATGCCCTTCTGACAGTCCCCCAAAGTCTTAACTCATTCCAATATTAACCCAAAAGTCCAAGTCCAAAGTCTCACTTGAGACAAGGTTAGTCCCTTCCACCTATGAGCCTATAAAATCAAAAGCAAGTTAGTTACTTCCTAGATACAATGGGGGTACAAGCATTGGGTAAATACACCCATTCCAAATGAAAGCAATTGGCCAAAACAAAGGGGCTACAGGCCCCATCAAAGTCTGAAATCCAATAGGACAGTCATTAAACCTTAAAGTTCCAAAATGATCCCCTTTAACTCACGTCTCACATCCAGCACACACTGATGCAACAGGTGAGCTCACATGGCCTTGGGCAGCTCCACCCCATGGCTTTGCAGGGTACAGCCCCTCTTCCAGCTGCTTTCATGGCTAGCATTGGGTGTCTGCAGGTTTTCCAGGTGCACAGTGCAAGCTGTCAGTGGATCTACCAATCTGGAGTCTGGAGGAATGCAGCCCTTTTTTCACAGCTCCACGAGGCAGTGCCCCAGTGGGAACTCTGTATAGGGCTCCAATCCCACATTTCCCTTCCCCACTGCCCTAGCAGAGGTTCTCCTTGAGGGCTCTGCCCCTGCACCAGATTTCTGCTTGGAACTCCAGGCATTTCCACACATCCTCTGAAATCTAGGTGGAGGTTCTCAAACCCTAATTCTTGTCTTCTGCAACCTACAGGACCAACGAGAATAGTATGGGGGAAACCACTCCCATGATTCAATTATCTCAACCTGGTCCAATCCTTGACACGTGGGGATTACTACAATTCAAGGTGAGATTTGCGTGGGGACAAACAGCCAAACTATATCAGGTACTCTCATATCTCTAGGTTTTTGTTACATCCTTTCTGTTCCTTGACTGTTTTGCCTTGCTTTCAAATACTTCCTTGATTCTTCTCTGTGCTCCAACAGTACATTAAGTGATCTTCTTTTATAAAACATTTTACTAAACGCTGCAATTATGCATGAGTCTCCAGCATTCTGTGACTTTCTTGGGAACAAAATGCTGTCTGTATCAGTTTGGATTCTCATTATTTTGAGAAATACCTGAATAAGTTTGATGCTGAATAACTTGAATAAGTAATTGAATCAATTTAATAGCCAAAAATCATGTTTTTGATAAGAACAAACAATAGATATTGTGTGAATGTATATGTATATACATACATAAATACAATTGTAAGCAATTTAGAGTAATGAACAATTATGGAATAATGTCAGTTATTATTTTAAAACATTCAGTGTTCAAAATTAGGTGAAAAGGGCCAAAAAGTTTCTCTCAATAAAAGATGGGTCTTGACGAAAGTCAAGAATTTGGATTGGAATTTTTGTTTAATTTATTTTATCTTCTTTGGGTGACTGAAGGTTAGTTTAAAAAGGGAAAGGAAAACGGATAATTGTTACTCTTTCACTACCAGTTCTATACAACTGTTAAATCATCTGCAATGTCTTTATTAACTTTAAGAAAATTACATTTACACAATCTAATATTAAACATATGTTTATCCAAAATTTTAAAAATTTTGCAGGACTTGTAACCCAGGATATTATCGCTAAGGATAATCATGGCATCCCATGATGGAATGGTCTTTATGTTACTTCAGTACACAGGTATTTTATATTTTCGTTATGGAGAACTTATCATTAGTTTTTTTGTGGATTCCAACGTTTGAAAGGTTTACCTACTGTTACGAGCTATGGCTACTTTTTATATTTTAATATCGTTTCAGATTTTACCTGTGCTAACAATACTGTAACATTAAATATTTTCACTGCCATTGTTGGTGAATGTGCAAATAAATAAGTAGTCAGGGACTTTCTCCTGGCTCACAGAGTTTGGATGTCACTGTATTCTCAAGGTCCAAGGTCCATCACACAATAATTTAGTTAATTAGCTAATTCATGCACTGTAACTACCTATACTGTGACAGCAGTAAATGTTGGAAATACCAACCATGCTTCCTGAAATCCTAATGTGTTCAATAACCAGTCAAAACTTAAGCCAAATTGCTCTATCCACAACAAAATACACTTTGATATTTCTTTTAATCACTAGATATGGTGCCTGTGAGCCTTTTGAAAATCATTTCATTGTTTAATGGCTAGTTAGAAGTCTAGCACAGCAGGTTGGAAACCACAACTATATAGTAGTGTGCCAGTTTATATCATTCTTTTATTTAAGAAAAAAAATAATTTTCTAGTTTAAGAATTTATTAAACACAGAAATATATATTCAACCAGCTGAAACCAAGAACATTCTTTTATATAATTATATAACCTTAAAAATATGCATACACACTTGCACATACATATGTACATACATAAAAAGTTAAATAAAAGATGGAGAAGAAAACAAAACCCTCCCCTATTATTTGGGAGCCTTGTAGGTGGGAATAGTTCCCTGAAACACTAAAATTGTGTCACTCTATTTACAGAAGTCGCTAAACATTTATTCACATCACTGTGAACATGATATTGCCTGAAAACTGGAGAGAGTTAGAAGGCAATACGGTTAGGAAAAACACTGCAATGAGAGTTAAAAGAGAGAGAAAGAAACAAAGTCGTCTTTTACTCTTTAACTTATTTTATTTATTTATTTATTTATTCATTTATTTTTGGAGACGGATTCTTGCTCTGTCACCTAGTCTGGAGTGCAATGGCATGATCGTGGCTCACTGCAACCTCCACCTCCTGGGTTCAAGCGATTATCTTGCTTCAGCCTCCTGAGTAGCTGGAACTACAGGTGTGTGCCACCATGCCCAGCTAAGGTTTTTGAATTTTTAGTAGAGATGGGGTTTCGCCATGTTAGCCAGGATGGTCTCCATCTCCTGATACTCCTATAACTTTTAAAGTCACTAGTTGTTTAGAGTAAGGGAGCGTCTTTAACATATGTTATCTTTCTTTGTAAAATAAAGGAATTAGAATATAACACATGAGATCCTTTTAATATTTAGCATTTTAAGACTCTCTGGATTAAAAATAAACTATACTCTTTAAATTATCTGTTGGATGGGATACTGAAGAAAGCAAACATTGAATACATGAGAGAGGAAAATAGTAAATTTTACTTACTTATAAAACCTTGCCTCTTCAATCATTCCAAGCTGGTTTAATAATTTAAATGAAAAAAAGCCATCCATCACAGTTTTATCCGGAAGAGTTATACTGAGAATGAAATAATAGGCTACAAAATAAAAATGTAGAATGCAACTCACATTATTTTTTAATTTTTTGGTTTTGGTACATATTCAGATATATATATATGTGTGTGTGTGTGTGTGTGTATAAATATGTGTGTGTATGTATAGATAGATATATAATCTAGGCTCATATTACATATGCAAATAATATTATTGAGAGGACTCATTTGGTAAATGGGTAATATATTTTACCTTTTGCTTGTCAATTTTTGATTACTCTTAAACATGAGAGATGAAAAAGCCTGCTAGCCAGTAATGGTTATGGTGAAGTATTGAACAAATAGCTCCTAAATACTAGCTGGTCTGAAAACCAAAACTTTCCAGAAATTAGGCCAATTAAGCAACTTTTACTTTTCAATAGCAGATCTAAGGTAAATATGATAAGATTTCTTAATTATCTGATTAATAGTACCAGCTATTGCTTGCCAAACGTAATTCCTAATTTCACTGGCTGTTCAAGAATGACTGTGAAATATATACATATATAAGGTAAGTTCATAGCAGTTCTTATTCAAATTGCCTTTACTAAACTTTGGTATAGTATGTCTTTCACAGGCAAGGATGCTGAACTCACTTCTATATGTTGCCAGGCCTGTACAGGAAATTTTGACTATGGGAGTTATCCCAAGTTTGGTGCACCCACCTCCTAGAACACAATGGATTTATAATTGGATTTTCCCCATTTCTGACATAAGAGGTATAAATAAGCACTTCTCACTTTGAAGTTACTTCACAGCCTTAGGCAAGGTACTTTGATTCACCTTGCCCATAAAAATGGGCATTCAGGCTTGCTCAGATGATTTCTGACAGCATAGAATATTGAGATGTTACAGATTAAGCCACCCTCCCACTATAAGTACATGAAAATGCTACGTGTACAATCCATGTTTCAATACGCAACCAACTCAGAAGAAGGAAGGGGAAGTCAGAAAGCAGAAACAAAGAGAAATTAGCACCAAGGCCAGAAGAACTGAAGCCCTGGACCCCTCTGGGACTTCAGAGCCTGTTGTGGCACAAAGATGGAGGCTGAGCTGTCAACCTCCATGCAGGAACAGGGGACATGATGTTAAAGGACAAAGCTGAAATGGAGCTCCCTGCACAGAGCCATGAACCTTATAATTGAAATTCCCTGACCCACCATTGAAAGAGGAACTAGGAAAATTCTTCCTACTTTTTCAGTGTGAGTCTTAGGTGAAAACATAAATTGTTTCTTGAGATTAAATAAAACTCCAGGAAACATGAAATTTAAGTTTACACTAGTTACATGTTAAAAGACTCCCACAAATTTACATTAAAATGCTTCAGGATTGTGGTAATATGGTTCTGAAAAAAGAAAATCTGACTTGCTCTGAAGGGGAACTTTGAAGAAGAGCTGATTTCTGAGAGTTTTCTATATCAAAGATAGACATGAATCTCTATTTTGAAATAGCACAAATAGTTTTTTTAAATTAATTTTTAATCCAGACTCGAACAAACCATTGAGACTGGAAAATAACAATATAAAAAAATAAATCAATGAATACATTCAGTCTGATGAAATGATAGATTATCTTCATGGAAAAATTAGATTGAAGATAAATGAAAAAAATGTATCTGAAAACAAGAGAATTCATATTTTCAATGTGCTGAGCATATAAACTTTCAATATAGAATTCTGTCCTAACCTATCTTTTCATTCCTGAGTGAGGGAAGGATAAGGACATTTTCAGGAAAGGCAAAAAAAAAGAAAAAAGAAAAGAAAAAGAAAAAGACTGAGAGAGACTACTATTGAAAAGCTACTACTAGGATATACCTCGGCAAGAAAATAGTTAAACCCAGAAGGAAGGAGTTGAATGAAAGGATAAGACAAAACGTAGACAACTGAAATTGGTAAATATAAGGAAGTATTTGATGATACTATTTATAATTAATATGTATTATTAAATGAGAAATGGAAGTAAAATACTACAGGATATAATATTGAAGATAGAAAAGAAGAAAAAAGATTCAAAGGCTCTATGAGATAACTTGTAGCTGTGAGAGAGTCCGATAAAAGTTTGTGAAGCAAGATCTATATTCATGTATAAATGCATAAAAAGCAAAAAAAAAAGTTAGTTACTGAGAAAATATGATAGCCCCGAAAGTTTTACGCAACTAAAAATCATAGCCTTAGGCTATCTAAAGCCAACACCTAACAGGGGAACTGCCTGCTAAAATAAAAGATTTAAATAGAACTCAGATTTTGACACAAGAGATACAATGTCCAGGATATGATCAAAAATTGCCCAAAATACCAAAAACAAAGAAAATCATAACATTGTTAAGAAAATTACCTGATGCTAACCCTGAGATAAATTCAATGCTGAGATTATCTGACATTTATTTTAAAGGAGCCATCACAATAATGATTCAAAGTTAACATGTCTCTTGAAAAAATGAGAAAAGAATTAAAACCTCAGCAAAGAAAAAAAAGTTGTAAAAGAAAAAATGAAATTACAGAAGCAAAGGTGGCTCCATGGTGCAATGAATAGTGCATTGGACTTCTAAAATTACAGAAACAAAAAATATAATTGCAGATACAAAACTCACAGGATATACTCAATAGTGAGTGGAGATAATAAAAGAAAAAATCAGTGAACTTGAGGGCCAATCAATCTTAATGACAGAGAGAAAAAGATGGAGAAAAATAAATGAACAAAGCCTCAGGGATCTGTGGGACTATAATAAAAGATGTAATATTTGTGGTATTAGAGTGTCAGAAAGAGAAGAGAGTGATGGCTGAAAACTTTCTAAATTTGGTGAAAAAAAAAACCCACAGATTGAAAAAGCTAAGTGAACCTGAAATATAATAAACCTCATGAAATTCTAACCAAGACACATCATAATAAAACTGCAAAAGTAAAAACAAAGAAATAAAAGTCTTGAAAGCAGCCAGAAGAAAATGATGCATTACCTACAGAACACCAATTTGAATCATATGGATTTCACATCTGAAAGTTATAGAGGTCAAAAGAAAATATTACATTTTTCAAGTGCTGAAAGAAAATAACTGCCAACCTCAAATCTTACATCCAACAAAACTGTCCTTTGAGAATGAAGGAGAAACAGAGACATTCTTAGACAAAGAAACAGTAAAAAACAAATCTTACTAGCAGAATTATCCTTAGAGATTTTCAGAAGTAATTTCTTCATACAGAAAGGAATTGCTGAAATAATCATGAATCATTATGAAGAAAGAATGAACAATGGGAAAAGAATAAATATGGGTACATACAATAGGTTTTTTTCTCATTGATTTTGTAAATGTTAAGGAATGAAACAAAAACTATTACACAATCTGATATTCAAAATCATGATAATTAAAAGCGGGGAATGTAAACGGGCCTACATGGAAGTGAGGTTTCCACATTTTACTTGAAATGGTTAAATGTTGGAATCGCTAAACAGTGATAAATAATGTATGCATATTGTAATTGTTGTAGGCCTCCCCAAATATATCCTTGTCCTAATCCCTGGAACCTACAAGTACGTTATCTTATATAGCAAAGGATAATTAAGATTGCAAATAAAATTAGAGTTGCTAACCAGCTGTTCTTAAAATAGTGATATTATATTGAATTACCCAGGTGGACCCAATGTAATCACAAGGGGCCTTAAAAGAGGAAGAGGAAGACAAAAGAAGAGAATCAGAAAAAGAGATGTGGTGCCGAGGAAGGGTCAAAATGATATAACATGAAGACTCAGTCCACTTACGTGAATGAAAAGGCCACAAGCCAAGGAATGCGAACGATTTCTAGAGCTGGAAAAGTTAAGAAAGTATATTCTCCCCTGAGCCTCCAGAAAGGAATGCACCTGCTAACACCTTGACTTTAGCACAGTTCCATCTGTATTAGACTTCTGGACTACCGAACTTTAAGATAATACATTTGTGTTGTTTTAAGCCACCAAATTTGTGGTAATTTGTTAGGGTCATTATAGGAAATCAATATACATTTTGATGCAAATGATGTGATATAGCTATAAAAAACATGTACAAGTGGACAAGTGGCTTCTAAATTAGAAATGAGAAGAAGCTGGGAGAATTGTTAGGAACATAATAGGAAAACCTAGATTTCCTTGAATAAACTGTTAGTAGAAATGTACTAGTAAGGACACAGGAGGAAATAAGGAACATGGCAGAGAAAATCCACATTGCAAAAAGGCTGTTGGTGAGAAATATGGATGTCTAATGGAATGAACAAGGATGTTAATCTTGCTGTTGTTGAGGACTCAGATGGAAATTAGAAATATATTATTGGAAACTGGTAGAAAAAGAATCCTCACTACATCATGGCAGGTAGCTTAGTGGAATTACATACTGCAATTTATGTGGGAAGCAGAAATTGTAAATGAAGAAATCGGAAATTGAACCAAGGGGATTTATAAGTCAGGGGTTGAAAGTGTGGCCAGATTTCTCCTTGGTGCTCATCATGAATTGTGTGAGGAAAGACAGAAATTGAGATGAAACTGTTAAATTAAAAAGAATCCTGACTTGAGGAGATCCTCAGCCTAGCGAGTTTACTAAAGACGCTCAAGTTAAGAAATTTATTATTGGGAAATGAAGCTCTAGAGAAAAAGCTGAGGGTATAGCTGGGACAACCTTTTCCCTCAGAAAGATTTTTAAAATCAGAGCATTTAGTCACACAAAAGGGTCTTTGAAAATATTAGGCATATAACTCACAGATTCCTTTAGCCATCTCAGCAGAGGCCAATAATAGAGGCAGGATCATCTAGAAATGATATGAGGAGTCTCTTTTTTAATGAATGACTCTCTGTGACATATACAGAGATCCACCAGACTTTGGTGAAGGTTATAGTGGTATAAATAGTGCCAACTTGGACTACAAGCAACAGAGTATAAAATGAGGGAAAGTTTTGAGGCCTGGAAAATTTCTACAAACAAGAAGCAAGATGAAAAAACTACTCAGATGCAAGCATATGCTACCATTTATACATTTAAAGAAGA